CACCTGGCATGCGTGCGGCCCGGGTTCGATCCTCAGCACCACATAACAAACAAAGATGTTGTGTCCGCCAAAAAATAAATAATAAATAGTTCTCTCTCTCTCTTTAAAAAAAAAAAAGATTCCATGTTTCCAGCAGTTGCTTTTTATATTAACTTCACATTACAATTACATTTGTGAAATGTGAAAAAAAATGCTGCCTTATTTATACTTTCTATTCCAACAATATAGACTATCACATGATACCAATATTTGCTTGTCCCTAAATTTCTTTAGTACCATTTTCTTTCCAAAAATATTTTAAAACTTTATCTCTTTCATGCTAAATTTCTGTCTGATATATTGATTTTATATTTTTAAAAATTTTATATTTTTAAAAATTCATTTTTTCCAATAATGGTCCATGAGACTTTTGGGGAAATATACTGTGTTTTATTTTAGTTTTACAACTGCACTGCCTAACATTCTAACCGGTAATTTTTTTTTTTTTTATTGAGTTGAGTATCTCCTCAAGATTCACTAGTAATCAAGCATTTCTTACAGAGAAATTTCAATGTGCTCCATGAAGAGAATCCAATTCTGAAATATAAATTTCAGAATACTCCTCTGAAAAAGTTAACACTAGTTGGGTTAAAAAGTCAGAAAACATTGCAACTGGAAAGAGACTATAATTGTTGTCAAACAAAATTGAAACTAATAATCTGAAGGATGCAATATTATACTTTGCAGCAAATATTGAACATGGATGTTTTATAATATAACAAAAGCATGTTTCATTCATTGGGTTATTTTCTATTAAATAATAGTGACCATTTTGAAGAATAATAAAAACGATTCAATAACAGTTCACTTCATCAGAGTTATGATTGATGCAAGTGGACCTCAGGAATTCCTTCAATAGAATTAATACACCAAATTTTTATTTTACAAGGCATTTCCATACCCCAGCTAGCTATTTATTCATTTATCCGTAAATAGCTACAATGGTAAGCAATGGCTTCTATTGCTATCAATATCATTAAAGAGAGACACTGATAATTTTTCTGCCATCTAAGCAAATCATAAATCTTATTCCCACTTAATTTTGAGAACCAAACAGAAAACAAACTTGTACTTTGAAAGTCAACTTAGTTAAATGACACAAGATTTGGTAAAATTACGTTTTTCAAAATGAGGCAAAACACTGGATTTTAAAGGAAATGTTTTCAGAACATTTAGAAAATAAAAAAATACACATATAAATAGCTATAACAACTGGCTAAGACAAGTGTAATGCAACTAACATCATAAGCGACATAAATTTTAAGTCAATGTGCATCAAATCTGATTAACTCATACCAAAATGAGTTTCATAATATAATTCACACAATAAATAAATTGCTTTAGAAAAGGAAAAATAATCAGTGTCAGGTGGATTAATAGGAGGAAAAATATGAAAGAAAACAGGACTCAGTGGTGGTAGAATTTGGATAATCACTAAGAAAGGGAATATTTTAAAAGAATTAACTGCATTTACATATAAAATAGATGCAGGATCAACTTGACATAAGATATATGTAGTCAGAAAAGGATTGATTTTGCAAAGCCTTGAAAGTCATTTGTTAATTTTTACTAAAGTTTTATGAAGAAGATGCTAGTGAAATTATTCTGGCAGCAAAATGCAAGACAGGCTGAAGTAGAGACAGACCGACAAGCGAGTAGGAATAGTTGGGGCTGGTGCAATCATATGCAAGGAACTGAAGCCAAGGCAACAGCAAAGGGGAAGATGCACAAGACATCCCCAAATAAGAGATTACTGAGTGAACACAACTGAAATAGATGAGCTCTGGACAACCAAAGGGAAGAAACCACAGATGCCTAAAAATGCTGCTTTTTTAAACTATAAAAATGAAATTAGTACAAAGAGGAAAATGAATAAGCAAGGCCAAAATTGTTGGCCATTTACTAAAATAGGGTTAGCATCAGTTGTATAAACTTATTAGAAATAGGACCATAGGACCAAAATAAGAATTTGAACACTCTTCCTCACTTTCCCTAAAATGATGTGTGAAAAATTACACTAAATTAAGATGAAAAACTCACAAATTACCTGAATATTTTGGTATCATGTATATGTGATGGATTTATCAGCTTTTTGTGGCTGTGACCAAAATACCTGACAAAAACATCTTAGAGGAGGAAAAATGTACTGTGGCTCACAGTTTCAGTCCATGGTCAGCTGTTACATAGCTCTGGGATGCAGTGGAGCATCATGGCAGAAAGGTTTGGTGGAATAAAGCTGCTGAGCTTCAGCTATCTAGGAAACAGAGATACAATGAGGGGAGGGATTAACAGAGTGGGAACTGAAGTGGTATGGTGTGGCTAGAGGAGGTGTGGATTGGGGCAAGGCTTTGGGTATTTACTTTTATTTGGCAAGTGAAACCTATCTCTGCTTCCTGTTCACCATGTGAACTGATTCCCTCTGCCACACTCTTCCACCATGATGTTCTGCCTCACTTCCAACTCTCAGGATTGGAGCTGGACTTCTACGGACTAAGACCTCTGAAACAGTGAGCCTCAACTGAACTTCTCTTCCCTGAAATTGTTCTGCTCAGATCCTTTAGTCACAGTAGTGAAATCACTGACTAAAACAGATCCTATAGGAATAACTCACATACAAAAAGTTTCACAAATAAAAACCATCGATCGAGACTTGTCTGGGAGTAATCATAGATCCATTGCTTATAGTGGAAGAATAATACATATATTTTATTTCAACCCATAGGTCATTGGTTGGAACAAATTCTTGTAACAAAAGACAGGTTGACTAAAGAAAAACAAAAATATATGTGTAGGAGTTTATTAACAGGTATACTTCATATATCCATGGGAGATACCAGAAAATAGATCTCAGAGAAGTATCTTTGAATTCCAACTCATACATCATCTTCAACAAAGAATAAAAAATTATTCGAAAAGTACCAAGACAAAACAAAAAGATTTTGAGTCTCTTAGGAAGACAAGTAAAGTGAAGGCAAATAACTGGCAGGCAAAGACTAGTTAGTAAAGTGTCCTAATGTAGTTTCATCTGGTACTATCTCCAGTCTCATAAGATTCCAAAGTTCTTTAGTGGTCCATCACTTGTTCTCCCCAGTAGAGAGGAGATCAGGATATTTTTGTGTTTGTGAATTTATGCCTTCCTTTTAGGCAAATTGAGAGAAGTCAAAGAGAGTCCCTGCATCTGGTTCTTAATTGTATTCGGCTCAACAACTCTTCATAGTTTAGAGTAGCATATTATGGTTCCCCACATATGAAATTTTAGATAGGCTAACAGAAATTTAGATTATCATCACAGTTTGGATATGAAGTGTGCCACATAAGCTCTAGTCTTACTGCAGACATGTCTGGAGGTGAAAGAATTGGATTTTGAGAACTGTAACCTAAGCAGTTTGAATGGACTGACAGGGTGGTAACTCTCGGCCTGTGGGACATGATTGGCGGAGGTGGGTCACCGAAGACACGCCCTCCCTGGAAGTACTCCTTTTGGCAGCTTTGGGGGCCAGGGTACTCTGCTTCCTGGATGCCATGAAACACATAGCCCTCCCCTGCCACTCCTTTCCCCCATGATATTCTGACTCTTGTTGGGTCCAGAGCTTCGGACTTGATCTACCATGGAATATACCTCTGAAACTGTGAGCCAAGAAACTTTTTCTCCTCTAAGTTGTTCTTGTTGAGTATTTTGATCGCAGCAAGGAAAAGCTGAATAACACAGTTCTAGAGTGGAAATCATGCTGCTTTTACGTGTATTCATAATGATTTTTGCTGAAATATCATTACTCTCTAAGAGAGAAATATATATTTTCCCCCCACTAAATCAGGACTCATCTAGTTGCAAATTACTGATATTCAGAGCATAAATCAGAGACCAGGAGATTTTAAATCACTCACGAACTTGTCAGAAATATACAATCCCGGGTCTATCCTAACTTACTGAGTCAGAATCTACTTTTAAACAAGATCCTAAAGTATATCCATGAAAGTGTGCAAAGTACTGAATTTTCTTTACACAAACAGATTCACCCGTTCAGATGTGCAGATAACTAACTTTGCCTTTCTATGATATACTATGATTACAATTTTAAAGTTTTATACGAACGACATTAAATCGTTTTGTTTAATGGTAAAAGAAGGAGACTAATGTGAGTGAAATCTACTTCAGGCCTGGTATTGTGTTAGACATCTCCGAATCCATTAACTCAGTATGTACAGCACCCCCTGAGAAGCGCTGCTATCTCCGCATCTCGCAATGTCAAAAGCAGCCTCAGGTTAAGTACCTCTCTTTCACGGAGTTGATTTATTCAATAACCATCGTGTATCTCATTTCTGAAAATCCCTGAGAACACCGTGGGCCTGGCCCCTCGGGTCCTGGGACGTATCGTACCTTGTAAATACGGGAAAGCGCAAGGCAGCTTAAAGGTTTCTAAAAGAGAAAAGCAAACTTTTCCGAAGTGTTCAGGAAAACTTCTGTTCCGAGAAAGTGCTTAACCGGTTTCCGTGGAGCGCATTTTGCGGGCCAACTTAGGAAAGGCAGCGCGTCGGGCTTTGTCGGGGACCCGGCGGCCGTCGAGGCTGCAGCGACGGGACCCCCGGCGCCCGGCGGGGAGGGCGCGGAGGTCGGGACTGGCCCCGGAGTGGCCGGCAGCCGTCGCTGGGCAGCAGGCGAGCAGGTGGCCGCCCGGCTACCCGCGGGCGGGTGGGCTGGCTGGGCCACTCCCCGGGGCCGCCCTCCTCCACCCAGGTCGCCGCCCCCTGCTTCCCGGCCCCGCCGCCCGAGCGCGATGGGAAGTGTGTCAAGGGGCGGGGGAGGAGAAACGTTCTCAGGAAATATTGCAAAACATCCCACTTGGCAGCGAGCGCGCGGGAAGTTGGGCGCGCGAGTTCCGGGTTTCCCGCCGCGGCCGGAGCTGCGGGTGAGCGCGGCCTGATCGTCCCGGTCGCTGCGCCCCGCTCCGGTCCCCGCGCCCCGCCGCCCGCGCGCTGGGGTCCGAAGGTCCGGGGCTCAGGAGCCCGCAGCCGCGTAGGCCGGGACGGCGCGGCGGAACCGGGTCCCGGTGGGCTGGGGACTCGCCTCGGCCACCAGGCCGCCCTGCACGGCCCTGCCTGGGTCACAACTTGCTGAGTCCCTCCCCGAGCAGCTGTAACTCTAAACTGGTCGAGTGAGGCCTATTTTTATTCAGAAACCGGCGACCCGGGGCTCCTGAGGAGATCGCTCAGATGGAGGGCCAGCCCTACTCTGCAAGGTTTCTAGCAGATTGGTGGGAAAGGGACGTCTTGTCCTGATATCCTTTCTTGGAGAGCTCAGTGTCCTGTTGCCAAGTCCTGAGAAGGGGGATTGGGTTGCAGTGGACCTTTCTGATGTGACTGTTGCCTGGGCTTGGGGTGCTGTACCTGAACCCCGTTGAATGGCCAGGAAGCGGCTGTCCTGAGGTCACCAAGCTTTAGCTTGCCCCATCTGTGACCTGGCCTAGCTCCTGTAGGAATTGCCCCAAGAACTCCTGGGAACAGGCTTGTAGTGGTGCAGAGATGGATGTAGAAGCCAAGTACCGCATGGCCTCCTTGTACGTGGGTGACCTGCACATAGATGTCACCGAGGACCTATTGTTCAGGAAGTTCAGTGCAGTGGGCCCTGTGCTGTCCATCCGCATCTGCAGGGACGCGGTCACCCGCCTCTCTCTGGGCTATGCTTACGTGAACTTCCTGCAGCTGGCCGATGCCCAGAAGGCCCTAGACACCATGAACTTTGACAGGATAAAAGGCAAATCCATCCGTCTCATGTGGTCTCAAAGGGATGCCCACCTAAGGAAATCTGGAGTTGGGAATGTGTTCATCAAAAACCTGGACAAATCCATAGATAACAAGACGCTGCATGAACATTTTTCAGCTTTTGGAAAGATCCTTTCCTCCAAGGTGATGAGTGATGACCAAGGCTCCAAGGGTTACGGCTTTGTGCACTTTCAGAACCAGAGTGCGGCAGATAAGGCCATAGAGGAGATGAACGGGAAGCTGCTCAAAGACTGCAGGGTGTTTGTTGGCAGATTCAAAAACCGCAAGGATCGCGAGGCTGAGCTCAGAAGCAAAGCCTCCAGCGAATTCACCAACGTTTACATCAAAAACTTTGGGGATGACATGGATGATGAGAGACTGAAGGAGGTTTTCAGCAAGTATGGCCACCCCCTGAGTGTGAAGGTGATGACAGATGCCAGCGGGAAATCCAAAGGCTTCGGCTTCGTGAGCTTCCATAGCCACCAGGCTGCCCAAAAGGCTGTTGAAGAAATGAATGGAAAGGACATAAACGGGCAGCCGATTTTTGTGGGCAGGGCACAAAAGAAAGGAGAGAGACAGGCTGAGCTAAAGGAAATGTTTGAGCAGAAGAAAAAGGAAAGAATCCGTGGACGCCAGGGGGTAAAACTGTACATTAAGAATCTAGACGATACCATCGATGATGAGAAACTACGAAAGGAGTTTTCTTCTTTTGGATCCATTAACAGAGTGAAGGTAATGCAGGAGGAAGGGCAGAGCAAAGGGTTCGGCCTGATCTGCTTCTCCTCCTCCGAGGAGGCCCTCGCAGCCATGGCTGAGATGAATGGCCGCATCTTGGGCTCCAAAGCCCTGAACATTGCCCTGGCCCAGAAGCATAACTGACCTCGCCAGCTAGCACTTATAGCAGGTGGCGGAACCATAGCCATCTCTGCCTGAATTGCCTTCAGTGAACTTCAGAGCCCACTGATGGCTGCTTAAGTTATTAGTAAATTTTATGATAAAAATTTAGATTTTTTTTTTAACACAAAAACATTTTTTTAAAACTTTTGTGAAGAAACGAAATGAATCTCTGAAACTTGGTTCATTTTACAGAGGCACAGCTTTTCATTTTAAAATTGCAGATTCTTTTTTTTTTTATTTTGATGTAGTAGTCAGAGCAATAAATGTGGTTAGATATATCTTAATGCTATTTTGAACCAGCTGAAGTAATTGTGAGTTTATTGCATATTTTCTTTCTTACTTGAATGATATGATTAGCTTTAATTTCTTCTGTGAAAATATGTTCAAAGTAAGGATTGCAGAGTAATTTATTTTTACCAATAAATTTTGTAATTGTTTTTTAACAAAAATTTTTTTGAGAAATCAAAAGTTTAGAAATTAGTAGTCCCCATTCAGTTAAGTGTCTAATTTCATATTGAGTTAATGTTTTAAGTATCAGGGAGTAGCTGAATTTCTTTTAAATTTGTATACGGACATGGTTGTTTTTGTAAGGGTTTAAAATTATGCAAGTTTTTAAAGTTGGCTACAAACTTGCTTTTTAAGCTATTGTGTTACTTTTTCTATTGGTTTACTATAATCCAGTCCTTTCTAGTTTTCTAAATTGTTGCTTGCATAGTAAAACTTTATACATTCCTTAAATTATAGTTCTGTATCAGTTCAGGTGACCCAAAGATGGGGTGGTCTTAAATCACTTTAGGCCTATGCAGCTCAATGTTATACCATAAATTTTTGTCACATACCAATAGTATGAAATGCATATGTATAGAACATAGAAAATATGTTTAAAATCTATGTTTAAATCTCTGTTTTAGAGTGATCCACGTTACTGATGCTCTCTCAGGGTTCCAAACAGTAAGCGCCTTTATTTTTATAAATGTACACCTCCTTTTATTAGACTCTGAGAGCTATGTTGCCCATTAATATTCACTTCCAGCCTTGATTGATCAGAAATTCACTAATTGAAGTTATATTGCTTGGACTGTTTTCTAGAATAAGTTTTATATTAGTCTCATTCCCAAATCTTTTCTTTCCTTTCTTTCAATCAAATTACTCAGCTCCTTTTTACACTTTTTAAAAAGGCATTTAGTAATTGGCTTTTTATTATGTGTTGCTTCAAATCCATTTTGGAAAAAGCAGCAAGAGTTATTTATTTACATTTAAATAATTTCTTTAAAAATTCTTATGTTGTACAGGGCTGTAATCTCAGATGCCGGGGGAGGCTGAGGCAGGAGGATTGCAAGTTCAAAGCCAGTTTGAGCAAAAGCAAGGTGCTAAGCAACTCAGTGAGACTCTGTCTCTAAATAAAATACAAAAGAGGGTTGGTGATGTGGCTCAGTGGTTAAATGTCCCTGAGTTCAATCCCCGGTATCAAAAACAAAACAAAACAAAAATTCTGATTTGCTCATACCAAAGATATCTAGAAAATGATTTTTTTGTTATTGTTGTTTTCATTTTTTTGGCTTTATTTCCTTTAACCTTATATTCAAATATTTTGTTTCATACTTTACTAGTACAGAAGTAATATTAAAATAGTTTTCTTTGGCAATATTTTGACTATGAATGAATGAGAAATATACATATATATGCACATATATAAATACATTCATTGCACATTTTCTAAATTAAAAAATCTAAGTCAATGAAAAAAAATCATGGACAATGAATAAATGAAGAGTAATATGTAAAGTATTATGATAACAGATCAGATATATTAAAAATTGGTGCATATTCTCCACACTTTTTTCTGTATGTGTACACGTGGACAATTTGAGAAATGTACAATTATATAATTTTTTGTTTTAAGTTACTTTTTAAATTTGACAATATGCTATAGTCAACTTTCATGTTCACAAATAACCATTTCAATATAATTTTAATGACTATAATTGTAATGACTTTTATGTTTGGTCAATGATTATTTCATAATGCAACTAATTTCTTGTTGATAAACACATGGTGCTAGGTTATATTTTCCTTTTCTCCTCTTTTCCTTTATCATAAACAACTTTAGGATAAACATACTTGCAAAGTTATTATGCAAAAATATCTACTTATTTTCTTAAAAAATGAATAGGATTAGAATTAAGAATAAAAAGAGCAAACAACTTAAAAATGATTTTGTAAATATTGTCCAGAAAAATTGTGCCCCTTACATTAATTTATCAAACTAGAGAGGTGCCCATTTCCATGTACTCCAAGGAACAAGGGATTTTGTGGCCAATTCGACATGATATGTAAAACAAAATACTTCGATATTGCTTTATTTGACTATATTTTCATACTGATTAATTAACTATTTCATGATTTTAAACTATTTTCTTATTGGGGTGTTTTTTATTTACATGGATGTGTGAAATTTCTTTGCATTTTAATTCATTTTAAATCCCGTCCAAATATGCTCACTTTGTTTATAGTTTTGATAGTTCAAAAGTTAAATTTTAACCTCAAAATTTTCAATTTTTAGGTGTCTGTGACATCATGCTTCAAAACATTTTGAACATCTTAAATATAAAAATATAAATATATAAAACCCATATATATATATATATTATATACTATATATATTATATATACACATACATATAGTTTCTCTCTATTGTCTCTTATTACTTTCACCACACTTTCATATTCTCAATACTTTCTTACAAAATCTTTTGTCTATAAAGTATTTTGTATAAAAAGTACACCAAATTTTTTGGATGTGTCAGATTATTCCAAGTTCATGGCATGTGTTTTAGTAAATATTGATCTAATTTAAGAATTTATGTTAAACTTATGTGAAACTAATTAACTGGCTCTCACACTGATGTGTTGAAAGCATTTTTACCTCAGAAGTGAAGAGCTCTTAAGGAAGGGTACCAGGCAACAGCACGAGGAAGTGCAGAGAGTGTATCAGGCCTTGACATCCCTTTCTGGATAATCCAATCTATAAAAATGTTCAAATATTTGAATAACATTTGATGATTCTTGTATACAGATTATCAAGATACCAGGAAACTGAATTCTTCTGTCCTCTGCGCACAAGAAATTGATAGTATTTTTCAGATGTCTAGGTAAATTGTAGCTATAGCTTAATGGCACCGTAAAGTACCATCTTAGTAGAGTTGTCTTATTTCTAGGTTTCACCATTAGAAATGACTGTCACCTTACCAAAATATATAACCCTATGGATTTCCTTGACTAATGTATTTAAATTTTATTCATTCTGGTTTTGTTTATGTGTGTGTCCAAGTCATCCTAGCTGATAATAGAAGTTCATTCTTAAAGAAAATGAAATGTTTTGTTCCCAAGTGCCTTGATGAATAAATAGAACCTCCATATTTGTGATAATGATTCCCGTAAAGGTAACTTACATAGCAATGTCTTGAGCCACTGTGTCCAGTCTTGCCTCCTACTACACATTGCCAACTCTGTTGTGTAGATGCCTGTTTGCATGTTACAACTGACTCATTAATAATATGTGCCTTTTAACCTTTCATTTTTTTTTACTTTTGAAGTAAAAATTGTTGGTTAAGAATACAGTTTTTGTAGTGGTATAATATCGACATTTTAATGTTTTTAATATTTTTTATACCCATGGAGAAAATATTCAATAAAATTTAACATTTCAAAAATGAAGACATGTCTGAAAATGATTTTGACCAATTTCATTAACACTTCTACTTTTCTAAAAATTTATTACTCTTAAGAATAAACTGAAAACTACTTTTTAAATGAAGACTCATATTTTTGTGGTTTAAAAGAATAATACCTATGTAAACTAGCATTTATTTTTTAACTTATAAGAAAATACTAGTTTGAATCAAGTTTTTATTAGGAATAATTGACTATTTTAAAGACACTTATAAATTGGATTATTGTGTTAGTTTATTTTTTCAGTACCAAAATGAAATACATGAGACCAACTACCTTGTAAAGAAAGATGGTCTATTTTTGTTCACAGTATGGATGAACCTGTTTTTGGCAGAGTCACAAGGTGGTACAGTGCAACAAATGGCAAGAGATCAGGAGCACATGTGTGTGACCACTCTAGGTTCTCTTCTTATAATGCAACCAATATTCAATCATGGGATTTGCACCCAGATGACTTTATCTAATCTAATTACTCTGCTTAAGTTGCCATGCTTTTAATACCTCAAAATGGGAGATAAATTTTGACACATGACCTTTGGGACACACTTAAGCCATATCTAAAACATAATAATTGTTAAAGTAAAATTCACCTGAAATGTTGAGTATTTAGAAATTGTTTATTTCTATTATATTTGAAAATGTGCCTTATGGTGTCATATTTTTAAAAATGGGTAAAAAGAGAGAAAGAGAAATAAATTTTAAGGTTATATTTTTAAAAATAAAACAAATCAAATACCCTCAGGATACTTTTAGCTTCAAGTAATAGATCTCAAATTAGTAAAGGAAATTTTACCTAAGAGTTCTGTCATCTTCAGATCTGTTGATTGGAGTTTCTGCATCTCTTCTGTGGCTCCTGGCTCTTTCTCCTCTGTATCTAGGCTTCATCAGCAGCCAGGTTTCAAGATGATTGTAGGATTTCCTGTCATCACATCATCATACTCAGTAACATGCAGAAGGTGACATCTTTCCTAGTAACCCCTTGAACACTTGGCACCTCTCTTCTTATTGTTCAATACTGGTACATGGATTCGTCAACTTCTGCCAAAAGAATTGGGGAAGGAAACCAACTGTACAAGTTATGTGTGGAATATGGTGATAATGAGAAGAAATAGGATTGAAAATGTATATAGGGGAGTGCATACAGTAAACCCTGGATATTTTTCATCATTTATATCATATTTGGAATTTTAGTATTTATTTGATAATTTTAAGCCCTGCTTTCAAATCATTCCTCAAATCACATTTTAGTTCTTCTGTTCTCAACACTGAATAAAGCTTGTGATTTTCCTCAACCTCATTTTGCACAATCCTAGAGAATAAACTATGCAAATATATGTCAATGTTATGTTAAAATTAGATTTGTCTTTGGTAATAGGATTCATGTTACATGATCTCATACTCTGTTAGGTCTAAATTAGGAACCTAATAAAAATTATAACTGAAAAGATCAGATTCAGTTTAGTCACCTATATAGATTCCACCAGAAACAATATTGACAGGTTACAAATGGTCAGGAATGTTTTAGTATAAATCCACATTTAAAAACGTATTGGTTTCTTGAGTTTTAATTCCATGTAATCTAAATCTAATATAGTAATGTCTTAAAAATTTGACAAAAATCAATTTACTATGTACACCAAAAACTACTGTAAAATTATATATAAAGAATAAAAGAAGAGTGTCTTCTGGTAGTACAATGAATATTTCTTGAGAAATTCAAGTTATATACCTACAAAGTAGTCCCAACGTGTAAAATTCCATAGAAACAACTGTACTAAATTCTGAGTTACAAATGCACTTGGATTTGTTAAGTTCAAATTATTTTGAAAATTTCCTCAGAGGATATAATTTATGGGGAAAAAATTATGGGCATGTGTTATCTCAGAGTTTAGAGTGCTCTTTAACTAAATAAAAGTTCTTTTAAGGGAATGAGATTAATCCATCGAACAGGATAAGTAATTTCTACTATAGAAGAGAAATGCTTAACTCCTAAGAGATATTGGCATTGTAGACAATAATATTATATCAGATTTTGTTCACCTATTTATGTTATTCCACTTAGATATTACAGAAGTTCCCGTTGTGAAGTCCCAGAAAGTTCTAACAGCACATTTGAATTATAAAAGTAATGTCACCAAAATGGTGGAGAATACTATTGAATGTATGTTATATGTAGTGAATATTGGCCATGGTTCACTTTTTGTTGTTTCAATTTTTTTTTTTAAATCCGCATTCCCAGTGGGATTTTCTTATTTTGGGAAGCCATATCTGACAGTCTGTAATGTATTACAATTTTGATTTTCGTTCCGTTTCATCTTTGCACACCAGCCAGTGGCATGCCAATGCACCATAGATATCGACATATTGCGGATGTGAATTTCCTGAAGTTAAAGTAAGTGTTTATATTAGTAATTCCAGCAAATCTTTGTTGAACAAATGTCTCAGTCTGAAGACCAGCCAAACCCTAGAGTTATAATTACACTGCTTTCATTCATCTGTTTACTTCACTCACCACAAGACGCCTTGGAAATTATAATCTAGTGTTATTCACTACTCTTTTCACGCATATTACATTCACAGCGCTATTTAGTGATATTTACATTGCAGAGATTGCAGTGGGCAAAAGTCGTGAGCACAGTAATTATATAGTAATGTTTTTATTTTACTAATTTTGTGGGTTTTAACCAAAATTATATTGTTAGATACAATTTGATCAAGTTATTTCCCTGCTTAAAAATCTTTTTGTCACACTAAAAGTCAGGTGAACAATCTTTATCCAGGGCCTATGAAGTCTCATATTGTCTGGTCCTAGTGTCTTTTAATACTTTTTTTTCCTGTTATGCTACTATTTCCCTTGGTCAGCCTCCTAGGAATAAACTGATCTTGCCTCAGCTCCTTTAAAATGTCAAGAAAATACCTGCTGTACTCAACTTTCTTAACCTTTTAGCAGATGGTATTCTGTGGGTTGCAGGGGGAGAATATTTCTCAACTAGTTTGTGAAACAAACAAACAAAAAAAAAAAAAAGCTCAGAACATTTATTGCCTGTTAGAAACCAAATATTCTGGGTATAGGTGGCCAAGAAACAACTTTGCTCAAGATTTCTGGGGAAAATTTTCATTACCTCTCTTTGAGTGACCTTTATTTTTATTTTGTTTTGTTTTTGTTTTTGTTTTCTTAACCAGTCACTATCTCTAAGGTAATTAAAATTGAGGACTGGCTGGGATTAAGTGACACATTCCAATATTGAGCTAAAATAGCCTTTACTGAGAGTGATGGACAGTCCTCCCCACCCCCCAAGGAAAAATGAAGTATAAGGTATAAGTACCATGAAAAGCATGAATTAAAGCAGAGTACCCACCCACACATTCACATCACTAAGGTCTACAACAAGTGAGCTGTTTAACAATTCCCAGTGCCTAGAATGCTCCAATTTTAATCTGACCTTTGCTTATCCTTCAGTTCCCCGTTTAGATGCTATTTTTATACAGAAAAACTTCTGTACTCTCTTTTGATTCATTTTGTATGGATAACACTTACTAAAGGAGCCAAGGAAGAGTTTCACATCCTCCCCACCTCTGCCAAGGAATGCCACATGACACATTTCTGTTGATCAGTAGAAGGCTCATTACTTAGTACTCTAACCGGTTAATACACTTATTGCACATAATCACCTGCTCTTTGCAGCTCCTCACTACATGTGTCTGGACTGGGAACCTGGTATATGGCCCAGGAAGTTCTAGCTCTTGGTTCAATTACCTTTCACTGTACAAGTGATCATAAAAGTATGAGATCTCAGAAGTTCAGTTCTGGACTTTCTTATGTCTGAAGAACTAAGGGAGAGTTTTTAATCTCTCTGTATCACAACTCTAAAATTTAGGTCATCTAACATTGTGCTAATAACAGGTAAGTACCTCCCTTCCTTTCAGATAAATGTTTTTTACTTTATCTCTCAGGGACCTTGTGGAGAGGAGAGGTGTTCAGGCAAGATCTGCACATTGCTATGCTGCTGGAATTGCAAACTTTACAAGCCAGACTAGATTCAATATTTATTGTGTTGTTTCTTCTACTATTAATGATCTATCTTTAGTATCCAGTTTAACGTAATGTATGTTGTAAGAGTTTTGGAACACACAGGTTGTAGAATGACAAAACATAGTGGAATTAAACAAAAATGAAATGCCACAGACTTAGTTGATTATGAGAACAGCACTCATTTGTTCAAATCATTCAGAATCCTGCAAATGGACCCAATCTAGGAGAGTAGTTCAAGATGTTAGGCTACACTAACCGTGGTTACCCATATAGACTAATTGTGAAGAGTAGAAACTAGAACTGAGCTACAAGTCTCCAAAACAAATATCCAGCTTAGTAGAAAAGTGAATGAGCATTGTATGAACCAGAACTGCTCAAGTTATAAACAATGGAGATGACAAGAAGTTGTGCTTGAATATGCCACAATTATATTGCCAATGCATTGTTTGAGTGCATAGGAAGTTCAAATTATGACAAAGACAGAAATTGAGGAGAAAAATGTGTTTGGGGAAATTGGTTAAATAATAATCATCAACATAATAATCTAATAAATGTTTGATAGGGTCCTCTAACTTATTATCCATCTCTACTGGATGCATGAATGTTAGGAGAAATAGCTGGACAGAGACACTGGTATCAGGATGGTTGTGGCAAAATTATTTCTTAGTTTCCTTAATATCTAATGAAAACAGTAATTATTACCCCTTAGTAACATGTTGTATCATGTCTGTGCAGGAGCAAGTGAGAAAGAACATAAGGGAATTTGGATAACATTGAAGTAGAAAGTAAAAATATTTGTTGTGTATGTACTTCACAAGGATTTCATCAGACCAAAAAAGAAAAGCAATGAGTCTTCAAGGTGTGTGTTTGCTTGAGAGGTGGTGATGATCAGTACTTGTTCCAATTGACA